TAAGAAATGTGGCAAAAACCATTAAAAGGCCGAATATCGGGAGGTGCCGTTATATGGGGACTATACCAAATCGTGGACCTACACATGCAATATTTCGCCAAAGGAGCTAGAACCCATTATGACCTAGAAATATCAATTTACAGACAAATCCGTGAAAAAATGTGTCAAAAATCATCAAATTACAGAATATCGGGAGGTACCATTATATGGGTGCTATACCAAAACGTGGACCTATAATTTCAATTACTCGCCACACGAACTGGGACCCATTATGATCTACAACTACCAATTTTCAGAGAAATTGAAAGAGAAAAATGTGTCAAAAATCATCAAAATACCGAATATTGGGAGGTACCGTTATATGGGGACTATACAAAAACGTGGACCTATACATACCATGTTTCGTCACACGAACTAGGACCCATTATGACCCACAAATGTCAATTATTAGACAAATTAGTGAAAAATGTGGCAAAAACCATCAAAATACCGAATATCGGGAGGTACCGTTATATGGGGGCTATACATGTAATGTTTCGCCACCGGAGCTGGAACCCATTATGACCTAGAAATACCAATTTTCAGACAAATCCGTGAAAAAATGTGGCAAAAATCATCAAAATATCGAATATCGGGAGGTACCGCATACATATAACAATCTTTTGACAAATCCGCGAAGAAATGAGGCAAAAATCATCAAAATAACGAATATCTGGAGGTACCGCTATATGGGAGCTATACCAAAACGTAGACCTATACATACAAATGTTATTATTACCAACAAAAACCAATTTTTAGAAGTGTGGCGTGAAAATGTGGCAAAAATCATTTCCCGATATTCGGTATTTTGATGATTTATGGCACATTTTACCATGAATATGTCTAAAAATTGGTATTTGTGGGTCATAGTGGGTTCCTTTAGCCTAAGGTGTTTCCTTTACCCTAAGGTGGAGTGTATTAAAAGTTCGGCACTGCCGAACTTAATGTTTTTTACTTGTTCAAAATAATAATTGTTTGTTGTTGATCTCCAAAGCGATGTTGCCAATTGGAGAAATTGGAAGAACACATTTTTGGGAGCGAAATTTAAAAAAAAGTAAAGACTTTTTTACACATCATACTAGAATCATAAGTAAAGTTAGTTTTTATACCCTCGGCCATATAACGGTTATATTTCCATATAACTGTTTTATTTTCATACTCGTTTAAATGCCAAAAGTCTCGAAGGAACATTTCCATTTCGCCTGAGTAATTAGTCAAATTTATTTTACAAAACAAAAATTTAAATATCTAACAAAATTCAAATCATTAATAATATTTTTTTTTTGTTTTTTGTTATTTCGAAATGTCACAATTACCGCTCATATTTCACAAGATAATCTGTGCATTTAATGCGTTTCTTTAACGCCTGTCAGATTTGAAACAAGTTGTAAAATTGCATTTATATTTGAATTTCGCCACCGCGCTGGACATCAGCACAAATCACCAGTAATTGACCATAAAATTAATTAGAAACAATTAACCGACAATTAACATCTTCATTCAATTGCCGGACGATAATTGATATTGCCTGCAGAGCAAAGGATTGCGTTGCATTTCGTTCGTTATGTTGTTTATTTCCAAAATGCCACTTAATCGAGACATTTATTGACTTTCGAAACAATGAAGAAAAAAATTTCAAAATCTTGAAATATTTCAAACTGCGTGTTTATTTGTTAAAGAAAAAAATTAAAATTTTAAGGGTCTGATGTGGCTTAAATAAAGATTGCAAAAATATCAAATACTGGCATGTGCACGCTACTTCGTCAGCAAAAAGTCCACCTTAAAATTTTGGATTCGTTCAAACCGTTCGTGGTAGGCCTTTTGAGTATTCCAAGTTCTCAAAATTCTTCATTTTGAAGTTTACCGAAGAGGATATTAAACCATTGCACAATGGAACCACATCCAATTTCCTGTCCAAAACTATTTTAACGTCTCCATATGTAAACTCAAGAAACCGACAGTGACCTTAATTTCAAATTTCAAATTTTCAGTTCTATCCTCTCACCCAATACCAAATTTAGTGACATTTAGCACACATATCCAAATAAAAACCAGTAAAGAAAGTCTTAAAGTCGGACCGACTTTGTGATACCCTACACCACTTTGCTAATTTAGTAGAGCTCCGCATAACAATTAAAAGTTTTTATGGGAGAATTCAATCATACACGCTATTATTATACTGATAATTTAAAGTTCAAGGGACTAAATATGCCGAAGCATTTGTATCTTTTAAATTCGGACTTGTATTGCCCATTTGGTGCACAATTAATTTGAAATCGGATAAAGATATATATGCGAGCTATATCCAAATCGGAACCGATCTCGATAAAATTTAGCAAATATATTTCTGAGCTGTATTTGATATATTTCGCTCAATATCGTTGTTACGGAGTTCATATTACGGCTGTGGGTAACAAATATGACAAATCGGATGAACAATATATATGGGAGCTATAACTATATCTGAACCGATCTTCACCAAATTTGGCATACTACCTTCTAGACTAAATTCGGTCGTATGTGCCAAATTCCATCCCATTAGGACAAATATTAGACGTTTGGTGCACAATAAATGATAAATCGGACGAAGTTATATATGGGAGCTATATCCAAATCTGAACCGATCTCGATAAAATTTAGCAAATGTATTTCTGAGCTGTATTTGATATATTTCCCCAAATATTGTTGTTGCAGAGTGCATATTACGGCTGCGGAGGACAAAAATAACAAATCGGATGAACAATATATACGGGAGCTATAGCTATATCTGAACCGATTTCAATCAAATTTGGCATACTTATTTTCAGGTCCAATCTGATCGTACGTGCAAAATTCCATACTATTCGGACTGATATTACACGATTGGTGCACAATAAAAGGCAAATCGAACGAAAATATATGGGAGCTATATCTAAATTTTTACCGATTATCTCCAATTTCAATAGGGTTCGTCCTTGGGCCAAACAAATGATTTGTGCAAAATTTCATCTGGATAGGGCAATAAATGCGAACTGTACTTCGTTTACAAAAATACATGGACAGACGGACCGACGGACGGACAGACGGACGGACGGACATGCATAAATCGACTCAGAATGTGATTCTATGAATATCCCCAGAAGTAACTGTGGGTCTATCTCGCTTCCTTCTCCCTGTTGCAAACAAATGCACAAATACATAATACCCTGAACACCTTGTGGTGTAGGGTATAATAACCTCCCTCTATCCTAAACGTCAACAACCACAGATACCAACAGTGTCATTTATATCAAATTTCAGGCTTTTCGTACAATTAGAGTACACATTTCCGAAACCACATCCACATGTCTAGGCTACATAGAAACAGCGACCCTAATACCAAATTTCTGACTTCAAGCACTATCTGTCGAAATTGTACCAAATGTAGTACTATTCAGTACTTTTCCCACAATTATAGTAGACATTTCCAAAACCACTTCTTTGTCACAAAACAGAGACCCCAAATGCCAACTGTTCCGAGTTTAGTACCATTTGGAACAGTTCGCACACTTAGTACACAATTCCAAAACTACCTGCATATATACAGGGTGAGATTAAAAAAAAACTGCAACAAAGTCAAACGCCATAATTTTTACATTTTTTTTTTTAATTGTCGGAAATAGCATCAAATTTTAGAATAAGTTTAGATTTTTTCGAATTGGTTATCTTTGGCACAAATTACGGCCTTCAAACGGCCAATGAAACCGTTACACGCTGCCCGAATGTTGCTCTTCTACATTTTGGCCATTCCCGGCGAAGCGCTTGCTTGAGGTGATCGACACTTTGGTATTTTTTAGTGCCAATCTTGCTTTCCGAAATACTCCAAACACAATAGTCCAACGGATTGGTATCCGGAGATTTTGGTGGTCATTAAGCGCTGGAAATGAAGCGAGGAACCTAATTTTGCAAGCATTCTTGGGTGGCGCGTGCTGAGTGCTATGGTGCTGAGTCCTGTTGGAATGACCAAGGTCTGCGACCAAAAGGTTTACGTGCCCAAAGCTTCAATACACCCTCCAGAATATTTTCGCGATAATATTCGTTATTTATTGTGATGCCACGGTCGATTAATACGAGCGCAGGGCGACCATCAGCTGTTATGGCGGCCCACACCATCACCATGGCGGGCGCTTGAGTTCTGGTGGCCAACCGAAGGTGTACATTTTCAGCTGAAGTAAACACGATCATTTTGTTTGTTTAACAAATTCTGATGGACAACGAATGTTTTCTCATCGGAGATATAAATATAAAGAAATCACACTATCACGATTGAATTCCATCACGAATAACTTTTTTTCTGGAAAATTGTCACCAAAATGCTTTTCCAAAATGAGCTGTCACTGGACAAATTTTAACAGCTGTCGGACGAGTGGCTTAGAAATGACCGCAGTCTGAAGTTGGTTGCAGTTTTTTTCGTCTCACCCTGTATATAACAATTACTTTCTAACTTTAATTCTCATTCCATATTTTAAGTTTTTATCTCTATCCGCACACATAATCCGAAACGGTAGAAGTTAATTCTTTTCGTAACTCAGCCGTTTCGTCTGTTCGTTGATTCTTAGTCAGTCAGTAGATAGATAGATATATAGTTAAACAACTGATGATTGGTCCTTTATATATAACTCTTTAAAAATTGGCAATAGATTCTGATGGTCCTAGAAATACCCACGATAACAACTCTTTTGGTCCCAAGGAAAATATTCTTTAAAAATCCACGATAGCAAATTTGTTGGTCCCCAGAAAAATATTCTTAAACAATCCCCGATTGTGGCTCACTGAAAATTTTCTTTCTTTAAAAATCCAAATTTTCTTTAAAAATCTGTTGGTCCTTGAAAGATCATTTTTTAAAAAACCACGATCATGGCTCTGTTGGCTTTAAAAAATATTCCCCCCTTGGAAAATAAAATTGAAAGAAGTCAAACGTATAAATAAAAGAAAAAATGCAATTTGTTGTTATATTATTATTGTTATTATTTAAAATTATGGCACACAATTACTTCATTGTTGTTTTTACTTTTGCTTAAAGCTAATCGCCTCATTATTTGGGCTTTACATAATAGCTAGTCTTGACGAATGGCATTTTAGCCACTTCAGCGCTATAGAAACGATCGCGTATCTTCAATTGAACATGAGTGCCAGCTTGTTTCAATTGCTCCTGAATATAGCCCATGGCTATGTTGATGTTCAACGAAGGACTGGGACAACCGCTGGTAATGTGACCCACCTTTTGAGAATCCTTGTAGATTTCAACACCGGCACGGGCTGGTGGTGGTTTGGCAGCTGGATCCATTTTCAAGCCCACACGACGACGTTGAACACCCTCTTTGAGTTGTCGATTCACCACCTGGGCACCGGGGAAATTTTCCTCGGCCCGACGGCGCTTGGCAACCAACCAGGCAAGTGCCGCCTCAATGGGTGTTGTTTTGTTATCAATATCGCTTCCGTATAGACAGAGACCCGCCTCCAGGCGCAATGAATCACGTGCTCCCAAACCGGCCATTTTCACTTGTTGTTTGGTTTGCTGCAGTAGGGCTTCGGTGACCTGTTCCACATGACTGGAAGGTATGGAAATTTCAACACCATCTTCACCCGTGTAACCACAGCGGGTAATGCGGCAATTGCCCACACCAGCCACTTCCGTCACCAGGGTATTCATGAAGTATAATTTGCTCAGGTCGGTCTTTGTTACGGCCGACAAGGCCTTAACAGCTGTGGGTCCTTGTACAGCAATCAACGATTGATCGGCAGATGTCATAAATTCGATAGCCACATCTTTGCCCTGAGATTTAAATGTATTAACAGCTGCCTCCATTATGGCCATATCTTGGGTTTTCATGGCAGCATTGGACACAACGTAAAGCAAATCTTTCTTGACCTTATTGACAATTAAATCATCCAAAATACATCCCTGTTCATTGGTGAAAACAGTCAGGGAACCTGTACCATCAGCAGCTCCTCGTATATCAGCCGTACACACCGATTCCATGCACTCCACAGCATCTTTGCCACGTACATAGGTTTGCAACATGTGGGAAACATCGAAAATCGAAGCAAATTTGCGGGTGTGCAAATGTGAGGCCGATATACCTTGATCGGAATATTGCACGGGCAGTGAATAGCCTCCGAAGTTGACAATTTTGCCACCATTCTTAACATGGAAATCATATAGTGCTGTACACTCAACCTTACCCCCAGCAGGGGGTGATGCAAAACATCTCACAGAAGGCGCGATCAATGTGGATTTGGAAACGTGTTTTGTCAGCAATGTTCTTATCATTTTATATGTTTGCTCTGCTTTAATTTCCCCACAATAAGCTGTAAACACTTGAAACTATAATCACGAACTGAGCTCTGATGATTTTCTTTTCGTTTCAGATCATTTGAATTTGTCTAGAGATGTTTTTTTTTAATGTTTTACGTCTTGGTGGCAGTCAATTGGAAACATCCAATCCAAGCCACAAAAAGGCAAAACAAGAAATCAGCTGTTCTCCCTCTCTTGTTGAGGAGCAGAGACAGGCGCCTGAGTATTGATAACTGATAAGAAATGTCATGAACGCTGTTATCACTAGCTTAGATGACACTATGTTTATTGTTGGTAGGCATTTGATATTTTACTGTACATTGACAAATAAGGGGCTCTCTCCCACAGAGGTTGGGAGCGCAATTTTATGAAATGAGAAGGGAGCATAAGGAAAAGAAAATAATCGTAAAAGTTAGGTTTGGTAAAATGGTATATTTTCTAAATAAATAAATAAATAATATATTATGGTTTTTTATTATTTTATAAGAATTATCAGAGAAAATGCTACGAAGAATGGTTAGGGAAAATGTTATATTTGCTGGATAAATAAATAACAAATTGATGATGTTTGTTTTTAATTGTTAAAAAAATCCTACAAAAAATGGGTAGTCACATACGGCGTACCCGTTTTGTCTCGATCTGCAACTCTGACGTTTTATTGATCAGTAAATGTTGGTTATAAAAATTCTATTAAGTACTAATAATAACAATAAAACAAAAATTATAATACAACCAAAAAAATTGATTTAAACTCTCACTTTTTGGTTTCTAATTGTTATTTATTCCATTGAACTTGTTTCTTTCTTTTGTTGGTTTATTTCCAGACTACACTTGCTTTTTTTAATAATATCAGCCATGAATGAAATATCGTTAATCTATATTTATAACACTATAAAACAATCATCGTAAAAAAGTGTATAATTAACAAGTTAAAAAGTATCGGCTGGTTGTACCTTGACAGATGTATAACCTCAGCCAAATTTCGATTATTTAAATATAATTTGACTTCTGTTATGATTATTCAAATTGTTGACCCTCTATGGAGTGGATTCCGAAGGAATGGGACAATATTGTCTTTTTACTATCGGACCTAAATAAATATAAAATAAATATCATATTTTGGACTATATCGATTACTTACTACACTTTATAGGAGATATCTGTTAATTTTTAGAAAATGATGAAATGTGCGTGATGTTGCAAATATAGTCGACCGAAGTATTTCATTTTCATACTTTATCTAATACAAATAAAAATATTGGTATGGGCAAAATTACAAGAAAATCGACCATTTATATTCAATTTTATGCGAAATCATTATGAATATACCATATTCATTTCAGGTATCTGGTTGAAATGTGGATATAGCAAGTTGCCGACTTGTTTCTCAAGTTATAACAGATAGAAGAATTGAAAATTGTGACCCTTTGTGGGGTGATGTACCAGAAGAGGTTCGCAGATATATATCATCTTCATAACACATCTTGTGTTAGGAAAAATGTTTGTATGTGTAACATTTGAAGAGAGTTTAATGCTTATTTTGCTTTCTTTGAGAGATTTATTTTTCGAAATCTTGAACCCTACGTGGGAGAGGTAGCAGAAGGAATGATCAAATCTCGACCATCTTTATCACAGATCTTGTGTTAGCGGAAATATTGACATGTTCCAAGTCTGCATGGAACCAGATATTAATTTCACGTTTTATGAGCTTCATTAATATTCAAAATGTTGACCCTTTGTGGGGGAGGTAACAGAAGGAGTGGGGCGATATACCCCATCTTTACAGAACATCTCGTGTAAGTAGAAATAATGAGATGTGCAAAGAGAACCGGATGCTTAATTGGGATTTTATAATCGTTTTGGTTATTCAAAATTTTGACCGCTTCTGGGGGAGGTACCAGGGAGTGCTCCGATCTCTACCACATTTATAACAGAAATATTGAGATGTGCCAAATCTGAATACAATTGGACGTTAATTTCGCGTTATATGGGCTTAATGGATATGAGATAAAAAAACTGCAACATAGACAAACGCCATAATTTTTCCTTTTTTCACATTTTATTGAATGAAAGCAAAAAATGTCGGAAATAGCATCAAATTTTAGAATATGTTTAGATTTGTTCGAATTGGTCACCTTTGGCACGAATTATGGCCTTCAAACGGCTAATTAAACCGTCACACGCTGCCCGAATGTGACTTTGTGGTATTTTGGCCCATTCCCAGCGAAGCGCTTGCTTGAGGTGATCGACACTTTGGTATTTTTTAGTGCCAACCTTGTCTTCCAAAATACTGTAGACACAATAGCCCAACCAATTGGTATTCGGAGAATTTGGTGGCCATTGTGCACTGAAAATGAAGCGATTAACCTCAATTTGTATCCATTCTTGGGTGGCGTGTGCTGAGTGCGATGGTGCTGAGTCCTGTTGATACGTTTATGGTCTGCGGCCAAAATGTTTGCCCAAGGCTTTAATACACCCTCCAGAATATTTCCGCGATTATATTGGGCATTCATTCTGATTAATACGAGCGGAGATCGACCATCGGCTGTTATGGCGTCGCACACCATCACCATTGCCGGCGCTTTAGTTCTGGTGGCCAAACTTAGGTGCACATTTCAAACCTGACCTCTTTGGCAAGTAATTTGTTACCATTCTTGGGTGGCGTGTGCTGAGTGCAATGGTGCTGAGTGCTGTTGATATGTCCATGGTCTGCGGCCAAAATGTTTACGTGCCCAAGGCTTTAATACACCCTCCAAAATATTTTCGCGATAATATTCGGTATTTATTCTGATGCCACGGTCGATTAATACGAGCGGAGATCGACCAAAATGCTTTTAAACGTTTGTAAACAATATAATAAGTTGTCACTGGAATAATTTTAACAGCTGTCGGACGAGTGGCTTAGAGATGACAGCAATCTGAAATTGAATACAGTTTTTTCGTCTCACCCTGTACAGCACAATTTTATTTCTTAATACCATTACAGTTTAACTAAGAACCCCAATATGTGAGCTTCACATATTCCACGATGTGACACGGTGAAGAGTTTAAATATCCAGGATTATATCTATGGTCAATTAAAAAAAAAAAACATGTTTGCATTTATTTTCATTTTATACATTTATTTGTATGTCTCATTTTATTTTGAGTTATACTTAAATCCTTACATTGCTGTATCATTACTTCGTAACTATCATCAAGTGTGTGTATGTGTTTGCTTCTGGTTTTATTTTTTTTTTTTTTTATATAGAAAACATAATAGGTTTTATTTTTATTTTTTTTTTTTTATTTTTTCTCTTTTTTATTAATACAAAACTAAAATTCAATATTTCGTTTAAAACATGCGATATATCATTTTGAACGCATAAACTTAAAAAAAAAAGATCTTTATGAAAAGTTTTTTTTTATTCTAAAGCCTGTGACCTGGTTTTCTTTTTTACAAATTTCTATAATAATTTTGTCAATAACATTTTTATTTTTTTTACTTTTTGGTGGCCGAAATTTAAGAAAAAAATAATGTAAAAACATGCTAATTTCATGGGGATACTTAAGAGAAGGGAGGAGGAAGAATGATAATTTTTATGTAATGACTTAGACTTATAAAGTGGGTCGATGGATGTTAAATGATTAGCAGGAGTTAAAACATTATCTGCCGATTCTGGATTATTCTATCTTATCTGGATTTTTGTTCTATGGACATACAAAAAAAAACCATGCCTTTTTTCTCTACAGATATTTTATGGATCAAGAATCGAGAAACCGGGCTATTTATTTTCCAATACATATTCTTTTGTTTCCTTGTTGTTTATTTATTGTTTAACTATATTATATACTTTTGAGTGGCTTTGTTTTTTATTAAAAAAGAATTATATGTTATGAAATAATAAACAAATATTTTATGTTGTTTCGTTTTTTAATGTAAAGAACTTTATTTTAAAAATTACATTTGTTTATTTATTCTATTCCTTTAAAAGAGAAGTTGTGATTTTTTTTAGTTTCTTTAATGCTAAGTATCTTCTAATGACGATAGGGGAGAAGAGGGAAAAATGATATTCGTACTTATTTTATTTGTTCCAAGCTTTACAAATTCTTCATTTTGTAAAGCTTGGAAGAACAAAACAAAAAAAGGAAAAAGATTGGTGTGGGTGGTGGGTTTGATATGAAAAAAATACATTCCTAAGTTTACATACTGCTGTTGTTGTTGTTGGTTGTTTTAGCTTGTCCAAATATGAAAATGTTTGCTTGCTTTCTAATGCAAGGAGGCTCCAAAAGATTGTTTTCCTTTGTGAGTGTCATATATTACCGTCTGACGTTTCTTGTTGTTGTTTGTCTCTTCTTTTTTTTTTTTTCTTTTTAACTAGACTTACTAATGCACATAAAGCCATTAGAAAATGAAAGTAAAGTTTAAATTATTTAAAAAAAATATATAAGATATTTTTAGGCATATTTTACAACTTAAATGACTACGAAAACCCTAACTCAATAGATAATAGATAAGCGTGATCATTGACGCTCTGCTTTGTTGTTCTTATTTGATATATGTATCTGTGTGTGCTTTTGCAATGGAATTTGAGGCAAGACATCGCCCTCATCACACACAACTTCATCTCAATCCTCAAGCATTTGAAAAGTAGTTATGGATACTTAACGCGGGCATGCCAACACATAATAAGGCTCAAAATCCAACGAACATTTAATGAATTCTGAAAAAAGGCAAGAGAACATAGTTATAAACAATTGTGGAAAATAGCAACTATAAATATGTTATAATATAATGGATAAATAAACAAAAAAATATCAAATAAGACAAATATAAATATATATAAATTATGAAAATACTTTAATTTTCAACATCATTTGTTTCATCAAGTTTCATCAAACAATCAATTGGTGTATCTGATTATCCTAAAATTTGTAACAATTGTTGTAAATTGTAACTGGAAGATGTCTGTTAACACAAAAGTTCTACAAAAGGGAGAGATGCGAAGAAAAATGTTTATAGTTCTTTCACTAAGCATTTGCAAATTCTTGCAGGACAAATTCCAGCAACTTTTCGTCTTCTCCTGCCGTTTATTTATACAGGACGAAATGAAAAAACTGCTACCAACTTCAGACTGCTGTCATTTCTAAGCCACTCGTCCGACAGCTGTTAAAATTATTCCAGTGACAACTCATTATATTGTTTACAAGCGTGAAAAAGTATTTTGGTGAGAATTTTCCAGAAAAGAAGGTATTCGTGATGGAATTCAATCGTGATAGTGTGATTTCTCCAAGTGTCGATCACGTCAAGCAAGCGCTTCGCCGGGAATGGACCAAAGCACCGCAGAGCAACATTCGGGCAGCGTGTGACGGTTTCATTGACCATAATTCGTTGGCCATAATTCGTACCAAAGGTGACCAATTCGAACAGATTTAAACTTATTCTAAAATTTGATGCTATTTCCGACATTTTTTGCTTTCATTCAATAAAAATTAAAAACAAGTAAGCAAAGGCTACAGTCGAGCGGGGCCGACCGTTGAATACCCTACAACACTATAATAAATGATACAGTTTATATAGGCAAGATACTCGAAAGAATGCCACAAGATATTGTGACAAATAATAAAAGAAAACCATCAGGTTTCGTTCTCTAATTTTCGAATAATAGCAACTTAAACTAATTCGCTTATTTCCAATTTATTGGTAAATGGTCTTCCTAGATCTGGAACCAATATTTCCCAAAGACCTTTTATATCTTAGAAGTGGCAAAAGATAAACATTTATTATTGGTTTTTGACTGAAACGCATCTATATGATATACAGACATTTGACTATATTCTTCAGCGAAATCAGCGTTAACGAAATAGTCAGAAGTGCGTCTTTCCTGTATTTGTGAATACTCCAAAAAGTCACTGGAATGGACATTTTCGTACTTTGTCTACAAAAGTTGGCAAACTCCTTTACACATTGAATATTTTTGGATGGCCATCCAAAACTGCTTGGCTTTTGCAATGTCCGGTAACCACCATTCAAATGTGCCTGAGGATCGAGCGATAATTACGACCTGCTGACGATTTTGCAGTTTTTTTGGTCCATTTCAACCCCTAAATATATGGCAACCATCTCCAAAAAGAGTAGGCTTCTATTCTGACCCTCATCTTATCCCCATGCAAAATTTCGTAAGGATCGGGCCATGAATGCGATCTATATATGATATCCTGATATCCTAACTACTTAGTTTTGTTAGCTGTAGAAATATAACCCAATGTTTAATTCAAAATGAAAATATGCCAAAAATATGACAAAATTGAAAAAATATGAGAAAAAGTTACAAAATCGATATTTTCATCTTTAGAGAGATATTTTTATGCGATTTTTTAGACGTTTTTTCTTTCCTGTCAAGAGGCCATTATGAATTAATGAGAACTGTCGAAATCAGTTCAGACGTTCTTTCAAGCATATCTTCTTTGATAGACATATATATCGCACATATTTTGCTACATATCCGATTTGTTGTATGTCAACATCAATGTAAAGTTCAGAAGTAACCTTGTCATGACTTTGTGATTTCGCCGGGATTTAAAATATTCGCGGTTTAATGAAAAATTTTGAATTTTTTCAACAAAAAAGATATGGACTATCTTACCCGCTAAATATTAAAATTGGTAGGCTTCTTCCCCGCCCTAAACTCTAGCTACATGCGAAATTCCGCGTCGATTGGTCTATAATTGCGACCTGTATAGCTACTGCAAAATCCGACTTTTTTCAGTATTTGGTCCATTTCAACCCCTAAATATTATGCGATCATCTTCAAAGAAATAGGGTTCTATTCTGACCTTAACCCCACCTCCATTCTAAATTTCGTGAAGATCGGCCCATAATTGCGACCTGTAGAGTGATTACAAATTAACATGGGCAGACGGACAGACGCACAGACGGACATACATAGCTAGATCGACTCAGCTCGGCGAGCTAGGGAATGTGGGAAACCAATATTTCGAGGTGTTACATAAATTCTGGCCCAATCAAACTTATAATACCCCCAACACATAGTGTTGTAGGGTATAAAAACGTAAAAATTGTGGTGTTTGACTTTGTTGCAGCTACAGGTCGCAATTATGGCCCGATCCTAACGAAAATAAAAATGGAGGTAGTGTTAGGGTCAGAATAAAAGCCTATTGTTTTTGAGATCATCGACTAAAAAAAGACAAAATCTTGATTTTGCTGTTGCTGTTGCTCTACAGGTCACAATTATAAATCAATAAACGCGGAATTTTGCATGGAGTTAGAGGTTAGCGATGAACAGAAACCTACCTATTCGGTCAGCTTACAATATTTAGCTGGTAAAATAAACCAACCATAATTTATTAATTAAGGACATCTTTGTTGTTTATTTTTTTGCCACATAAAAATATATATTCACTAGCTGGCCCGGTCCGCGTTGCCGGCCCTTACTTTTGGTCTTTAATGCATATTTTTTTAAGCATTATAGAATTATGAAAGCGGCACAATTTTTATTATAAGTAAAATAACTCCATAGTAATTTCTAAATAGAAATAAACATTCATGGGAAAAATTATAATAGATAATAATCTACCGTCGGTTTTAGATATTTTGAATAGCCTGATCTTATTTTTCAGCCTAAGGCTATAATTGAGTGTTAAAAACCTGTATGATATAGAACTTCTATAATAGCCCCATGTGAAAACTCAGCTAAATTTTTGGTATCGAATTTCCAATGTTAAGAATACCGTGCTGCGTGGTATTTAGTTTTGTCCACCTCATAATTGAGGGCGGAATGATTTCAAAATAGTCAAAGATAATTGCTTTTTTACATCCATTACCGTGAAATATTAATTAATTTATTTTTGTCATAAAAATTGTGAGTTGGAGAACCCATAAAGTCCATATTTTTCATCATAGTATAATTCAATAACGAACAAAAAATTAATATTCGTGATTTTTTCATGTTTCTGCCACAATTTGATATTTCGGAGTTTATGGCATGTAGATGTTAATCCCACATCTACGTTCCCAACCAATATTCTCTTGGGAGTTTCAAATTCAATAGTATATCAAATTTTCTTTTCTGACCAAACATTGGTTGGGAAAGCGGATTTGTGGGTACACTAATGTGAGAACTATACTCGAATAAATGCCTATGTGGACAATTATCTGAGGGACGATTCTCTACCCCAGAGTTGCCTAAATACAATTTTTTAGCCAAATCAATTGATGAATGTGGTCAAGACCAAGATGGACTCTACTCCGAAAATTGAAAATATTATGAGAAGAGGTTTTTTACACCCTTAGAAACAAAGATGCCAAATAAAGGCCTAAAGATGAAAAAAATGTCGAAGACCCCGAAAATGGCTTAAATTATATGATGGTTATACCAAAACATGATCATATTTTGCGAGGATGGTTTCTTATCAAATTAAAATGAGTGTGAGAAAAATGTGGTTAAAATGTAAACAATACTTGAAATAGGGTTGTACCCTTATCCGGGGGTCATATATCATGACCTGCAAAAGCGATTTAAGACATCTTGAAAGTTTAGGAACAATTTCTTTCTTTTTTCCTAAATGTCCAATTCGCTCTACCATTTTGCACCCTTTATATTCGGTATTTCACTGACTGCAGTTCCAATGAATTGCATTTTGAGTTCTCATTGGGCGGATTATTGCCATATGAAAGATGTAGGTCCACGTAGGTCACTCATTTTATTTTAAATATTATTCATTCAGATTTCAAGGCAATAAAAAATGTTCACTTCAATATAGTATGTCAAATTGAAAAAAATCACACCAAAAAGAAATTTGTTATTAATATTTTTATTGGATACCATTCCAAAATTGTATGAATTGTCAAGCCGTTCTTTAGTTATACCTTATGTAATTTTTTCCCCGATTTGAGAATTTTTGCAATGAGATCTCTTTTTTCAAGATTTTTAGAAATCTTGACTTAAATTTGGTGTTACCGCGTTAAATTATTTCGATAACATCTATTTCGTTTCGCCACCACATAATTTGGTACTACACTTCAATGTAACCCGGCTTCTATTTCAGTTCTCAAGAAATCGAGTCAAAATAAATTGGTATTAATATTCGAATCAAAAAGAAAAAAAAAATATAAAAAACACTACAAATGTACATTCGAAAAAAGTAAGTCAAAATAGAAAAAAAACATACAAAATAAAACATTACGATTGTACATTTCAGAAGTCAAAATGAAAATGTTAATATATCACATTTTTACGCGATTTTTTTGAATATTATCCTTTTCGGAAAAGAGACAATTCAGAATTTGTATGAATCGTTAAAATCAGATCAGCGGTTCTTGAGTTATAAGCGTAGTAACTAACACAACTTACATTTATATATATAGATATACAGAAACGTTGTTCGATTTTGAAGCAAAAGAAGACGCTTTGCACACTAAGAAAATGATGTACTTGGCCGTCTTCCTAGTCGCCTTCTTCAATTCCTGTGGCCACTTTTCTAATGTTCTGACAAACGGTCTATTATACGCCTTCCTTTGCTGCCCTAACTTGAATTCTGTATTCTGCTGGCAATTCTGCTACTCGATGGTACAAACATCAAGTAGGTGTAGATCTTGTAAGACCACGAGATTTTCTCAAAAAAAGTTTATGCTTGTTTAAGTTATTGTTAGCGACCTCTTGTCCGCATTAACTAAAGCTGCTGAGCCACACTCAATTCTGGATCTTTGAACTGAAAACTAAAGAGTATTTAACATGATCTCGAGCCGAATTATTTGCCTTAATGTAGAATCCAAAATACTGTATAATGGTAACAGTGTTATAACAACTCAGCTGAATATTGAATTGAATATTTGAATATTTCCTAACTGATGACCAGTCAAAGAGATTGTTTTGTTATTAATCTTAACATCAGGGTTTTTTGAGGTAGGATCATGCCGAATACATTTGCGTCACAGTATTCTAATAATTTTAAAGCTAAAATAATATTTTAATCCATATGGCTATGACCATGACCTAGGTCGGCCAAGAAGACTACTTTTGACAATATCTTGAATCGACCGTATAGTATGTCACACAATATATTATATATTCAAATAGGTACGGTTCTAACCGCTTTTCTAACCTTACATTTATATGCATAAACAAATTTGTGAGCTAAAATCTATGACACTTACCTGCTGATATACTATTATACTTATTCAACTGATATATACCGTATCAGAGATGCATGTGTTTGTTTTGTATATTTAACAAATGGGGTGGGGCGGGCATAGAACAATTATGCTCGTTATTATTTTCTGTTCTGTTCTCTTTTCATTTAATTTACATTAGCCATTCCTAATCCGTTCCTATAGCTATTTTGTCCGGATTTCCCGCTGCCTCAGAAGCTGAAAGAACAAGGAAAACAATATTTGTGAGTTGACACGGCAGATTGTAATTATTATAAGATGTCATACCTTCAGCAGCGTCTTTTTCAATACCAGCCTCACTTCCCGCACTGGCCGCCTCCAATACCTGTTGCTGCACCTGCACAATGGGTTGACCATCTTCTGTGTAGGATACAGAGACCGGTATACGTGTACCATCCTCGCCAATGACATGAGCTCCACCCTCACCATCCTGCGATTGCTGAATAACCAATTGACCCTCGGAATTGAGTAGGGAAGCATCGATGAGCTGGGTTTCATTATTCTCACCCTGCACCAAAACCATTTGTCCATTGCCATCAGTCATCATTTGCAGGGTCTCTCCGTCGAGACCTTCACCAGATTGTAAAACACCCACAGATTGCAGGAGCTGTTGAATTTGTTCTGGATCCTGCACCAAGATCTGATTGCCATCAGCATCAGTGATAATATGATTATCGAGTTGTAACAATTGACCACTTTCATTTAGGATGAATTTAATTTGTCCACCATCCACTTGGGCCTGCATTGAGGCTTCATCTAATTCCATGGCAACATGTTGTTCACCAGCAGCTCCTTCGGCTGCAGCGGCGGCTTCTGCGGCGAGTTGTTGGTCATGCGTTTGCTGCTGATGTTGTTCTGTGGCATTACCGCCTTCTTCTGTTGCTGGTGTGCTTGACGGCTCAGTTGCTTGTTGCTCGGCATGACTATCATCTGCCACACTAGTTGTGCCCGATGCTGCTGCTGTTGTGGACTGTTGGGAGTCCTCCGCTGCTGTTACCGTTGTTGGGGTTTCAGTAGCTGTCTGATCACCAATTGCTGTTGGATGATCATCCGAAGCAGCAGCAGCGACGACTGATGCCTCTGTTTCATTTTTGTTTCCATCACCTTCCGGGGCAGGTTTAGTTGTTTCTTCGGTTGTTTGTTTTGTAGATTCTTTAGTAGAATCATCATTTCCATCACTTGTCGCAGTGTTTGCAGCAGTTGCCTCTGTTGTCGTTCCTGTGGCTGTTGTTGGAGGATTTGCTGGAGGTTCTTCATTGTCATCATCTAAACTTGGCATGCTCACAGGTCCGCTGGACGTAGGCGGTTTATTACTCTCCGTTTCTGCATCTTTCAGATCACCGCCCACTGTGCCAGGTGGTGTTCCGGCCGAATGTGTCGTTTCATCCGGTTGATCCAACATTGGCATATCTATGCTAACCGATACTGGTGCTGTGCTGGTAGTAGGGGTATTTTTCAATTGATCTTCCACGGATGTGGTAACAGCTGCCGATTCTTGTCCCGGCAAAGTTATGTTAAAGGTAATGCCACCTTCACTGCCAGCCTGAGAGGTAATCACCACTTGATCCCCAGAGCCTGATCCCGAGGCGGTGGTGGTAACATTACCTCCATTGTCTCCCTTGTCCGAATGCATTTTCTCGAATATGCTTTCAATGTCTGTCTCTGAAATGGTGGCACTTCCTGCACCACCCGTCATGGAGGAAATTTGTTGCTGTTGATGGTGAACATTCAAATCTTGGCCATGATGTGACAATTCATTGTGTTCCTGCTGGGCGGCCTCACTGAGAAGAGCAGCAGCATTAAGGGTGGACAGATTATTACCACCACCACCAGCTGATGAGGAGGACTTTTTATGGCTGCCGCCACCACCCGAGGAGTCACCACGCCTGTGCGTTTCCATATGCTGGTTATAATAGTTCTCTTGAATGAATGTCAGCGAGCATATGTGGCACGAGAAGAAGCGTATATTGTTTGCAGCATTGGCGACAACATCGCTGGCTGCCGTGGTGACTGGAGTGGTACTGTCACTCAGCGCTTCATCAATGGTCTCCTGTAACAGTTTCTGGGTGGTCAACAAATTCTGTGACTGGGTCGCCGGCTGTTGTTTTATGCTAATCATCTGTTGTTGTTGTTGCTGCTGCACTTGAACCTGTTGTTGTTGGTGCTGCTGCTGATGTTGATGCTCTTCGAAATGTTTCACCAGCATGTCACGCTTGGGGAAGGACATCGAACATGCGCCACACTTGTAAACATTGCCTTGATGTTGTTTGGCATGTGTGGTGGCCGCTTCCCGAGTCTCAAAGCGTTGAGCACAGAGGCGGCACTTGAACGGCTTGGACTTTATGCCAGCCATGTGTTTGCGCATGTGTTCATCAAACAGAACCTTGTCTGTTGACTTGAATTGACAGTGATTACAGGTGTATAGAGCGGTAGTAGTACCACGTCCAGCAGCATTCACGCCTGCCGTTATGGAATCTGCTGCCGGGGCGGCAGCCACCTGTGACACTGGCAGTGTTGTTGTACTGGTAACCACCACATTGGTACTGTGAGTATTTTCCATGTGCTTACGCAGAGCCGTCTCACTGACAAAGTTAATGTGACACACGGCACAGGTATTGTCCATGGGGGTGTTGTGCTCACGCACCATGTGCTGTTTCATGGCTCCGAAATTGGGGAAGATCTTTTTGCAGTTTTTGCACTGGAAATTCTGGTCCTTGCATGTCTCGTAATGGGTGTTGAAGAGACGCATATCTGAGGTTTTGTATTCGCACGACAAGCACTTGTAGATTTTGGTTGTTTTGCGTTGCAGCGTTTGGGTGCCGGCCGAATGCTGTTGTATGGATGTTGGTGAGGGTGTGGAGATTTTCATTTGTTGTACGGCACTCACTGGAAAACAAACAAAACAAGTCCCGGATAAGTTACAAATTACTCTCTTACTGATGGAAATCCTTGACAACTTACCTGCTGCTCCACTGTTTAATTTCTGCAATTTATTGGGTGGTGGTGTTTGCTGGGCTGCAATGTTATTTGCCACTGTGACAGTTGTCCCACCTCCAATGGTCGTTGTTGTCCCAGCCCCACCACCACTGTCATCATTTAGTCCATATTTCTTGTGCAATAAATTCATTAGATTTGTTTTCACCCGCTCCACATCGTTTTCCAGACGATCCAAGTAATTGATAAGATTCGTACAGCGTGAACATACCACATCCTCTACACTGACAATGACCATAAATGCATCGCCGACCAATTGACCAATTTTATTGGGAAATTTTGTCGAAGTATGCGTTGTCTGCATATCCGTCAGTGGATGTTGTGCCTGATTGGCACCCAGAGCATCATCGCAAACATAGCAGCGATTGCTGGACGTAGCAATTTGTTGCTGTTGCAGGCTATTGTTAAGGCCTGAGGATACCACCGTGGTTCCACCGCCGGCACCAGAGCCCACAATTTTTTGTTTTAAAATCCGTGGTTGATTTGGTCCGGTCACAGTCACAGCTCCGCTCGAAAGCAGGTTGTGTATTTTTCGTACAGTACTATTCATTTGATTATTCATGGTACTGTGGAGGGTGTGATGAAATAATATTATGGGTGGGGGTGCTATGAAAGCAGATGTATCGTTGTATGTATTTCCTTTTTATATGCGTTTTGTATATCCTTTACAACATTAAGATTCAGAGAATAAGAGGTGTTCCAATATGGGTATGTGTGATCTGCAATTAAAGTCAGTAAAGATCTGATAAAATAAATTGTGTGTAATAGAAATTGCGATAACTGGAAATAAATTTGAATTGAATTGAATTCCAAAACCTCAATATGTGCTCCATAACAATGTCATAAAATGCATCCTAGTAATATTATTGGCAAATTTTGTATATAAAGCTCCCATATATATATATATGTATGTTCCCATATATTTTGATATAAACTATTTTCCAACCATGCCATGATCGTTTTGTAATTTCGATTCAGAGACAACTCGGGCTTCAATGTGTATGTTTCATCCTGAATTATACTTCTATATTATGCACCCTATAGAAATGATATTTGGTATGAAAGGCTCCATACAGTACAAAATATCTCCGTCAAACTTAGTGGAAATCGATTCCATTCCATTTCAACCGCTCTAATTTCACTTTGTATGCAGCTCTGGAAAATATTTGTAGTGGAGTCGGACATCAAATAGTCCATTCTTTACTGGTATCAAAATTATATACCTATGAAAATGAACCTAATCGGGTTTTCCGGTTTTAAGATTAGAAACAACTCTAGTTAGGTATTTGTACCATGAAAGTGGTGGAGCCTGGTACCGGATATTTGACTCGATTTCGATGTAGACAAAATAGGTGTCATATGAAAATCCCTATCCAACACGCGGTCACAATGTACCCTGAATACGGGAAACATATTCTTGGGGGACGGACCATAGTACCTAGATATTTAATTCGAAAGTCCGCTATCAAGACCCAGTTTTACTAAACTCATATAAACAATACAGGTGATATTTGAAAGCATAACAATTAAGTTTGAGAAACAAAGTTTTCTACATTCATTACTTTTTTAAGTAGCCGGTTCCATGTCAGGCTTGGATTTTCTCTGAGGGATAACCGAACCAAAAATTTTTATTATTTTGATACTTTTTTAAATAGCCTACTTCGGTCTCATTTGAGTATGTCTTAAACCGACTGAACTGAACAAATTCGGGTTCATAACCGCATATCTCTGAGTTCAGGAAAGATAACATATTTAATGTCATCTTGGAAAGGTTAAAGTGTCAACTATAATTAGGGAAGTACCAAAAATATGTTTTTTTTTTTTTTTTTTTTTTTTTTGTAATTTCGATAAAGGTTGTCCGTCAGTACTATCATTTATTCATTTTTCTGCATCCAATTTTCAATGCTCAAGCCGGTTATTGCTTTGGGACGGCTGGTGGTCTCCAAGGAGTACATACTACTATTACTAGCACTGTATTAGAACTTGCAAGAATATAAAAATGTTACTACGATAACTGGTTGGTTTTTCCTTTATGAAATTGCAAAGCTAGTAGATTCTTACAGTTTTATGAAACAGAGCCTAACTTCAGAATTAACATTCCTGAAGGCCCGAAAAGTTTTTAGGATTTGCGGTTTGTAAGAAACAATTTCAACACTAGGACAAAATTCAGTTTAAATTTGGAACTTCAGAATCAATCCGTTCAGGCACATGCCTATCTAAATTGTAAAATCATCCAAAATGACCAATTTAGTACAGACAAATTTTACAAATTTTACACTGTCCAAACACAAGGTAGAACCCGTTTCAATAAATTGTGAAATTGTTACTCTTTGAAGACGGACAACAGCCCTTATTTTGTAATGTATTCATTTTATCCTTCTTCCTAAAATGCGTTTGTGATTGTTATAAAAAACATACTATTGGCAACCCTTATTCACGCAGCTTGTCAAAGAGAAGAAAACGAAAAACACAGCGAATGTTTTCACCATATGTCCATGTGTGTACGTACGTGTGTGTGTACATGTTTGTGCGGGTTTGTTAAAAAAGAGACTGGTGTTCTGCTGTTCGTTCTTCGTTTATTCGTCAAGTTAAATGGTTTCGTTAATTCTAGCAATGACAAATAATGTTGAGAATGTAGTGGTTAAAAAATTGTCGTCGGAAAATGAGGGAAGAAAATTTGAGGGAAATATTTTTGCAAAATACAATTTGTTACGCATGGGGTTAATGGAAAGCCAGAGAAACAAAAATATGTTAATAACAATAAAGTTGGCGTGAAGAATGTATTATGATCAACACTTATCAATTTTTTCTTTGCATTTCCAATTGTTATCGTCCGTCGTCGTTATTCTGTTTTAAATTCTTGGCAAACAGAGCAAATGATGATGCTCGGGCTTCTTTCTTGACATGCAATATAATTCTGGGGCAGCAGCTTAAGTATATAGTACCTCTTTGCAGGCTGACTAGCCAAAGGAACTGGAGCGCACTTGAAAACAAGAACAATGTTTAATCATTGAGCGTTAAACCCACACACACAGATGCCACATTTGCACGACTTGTTTAAGTTGAATTTTTTACGTTCAGATACTAATTTTAATTGTTGCAAGATGAATTTCCAAATTTAGTACACAAAATATTTGTCATTTAAAAAATGACGCGCCAAAATATTTACACAAAATTTCTACACAATTCTTTTCCATCGAGCTCTGCTTTAAGAAAGCAAAGATGTAAACAAAACACTAGCACAATTTTACCTTCTCCAATTGTCAATTTACAATTAAAGATTTCATTTCGTTTGCATTCCAAATGTATTTCATTTTTGGATAATAATATTCATTTCTTATTTGTTAATTTATTTTTTGATAAGTTTTACCACACGAAACACACAATTTCTTGTTTATTTTTCTTTATTTGATAACTTTTTTTTGTCAGAAAATGACAGCGTAGACAACAACATCGAACAGCGTTACCCAACGAAATATATTCAACACTAGTCGATGAGCCGCTACTGTACGAATGCCAGACCAAACTTAACGAAAGACGACCAACCATACAACGCAGCGCTGAATATTGCAGGACGGCGGCAACGACGAACAACAACAAATACCGAGATTGGGTACGAAAAAAATAGCCACAATATAAATATGGTAGGTGGTGACTGACAGACTTACAACTGCCTACCATTCATACGGCCCCGTTAGACTCAACTTATTTTCTCAAGATTTCTATTTGCGAGTTTTTCTTCTTAAATGTTTATTAACATATCTGCTTCTTCTTACACAATTTCCTTTTTTATTCGATTCTATTTCGACGTTGCTTTTGCCAGCAGCACGCATTCAAATCCATAATAGCAGTTGATAAAACAGCAAAATGCAGCCCTATGCCGAGTTAATAAAATACCAATTATTTTTCCTGTTCTCGTTTTTTTCGGATTGACGGCGGTTATTGAATTTTTGCAAATCACAAGCAAGCAACACTGTACCACACCACCAACCACATAAACTTATGTTGAAATCTTTCACACACCAAAAAAATCCAACCGTTTTTAACAAAGTTTCGTTCAATATTTATTTAACGAACATGCACGCACACTCACACACACGTGGGCACATCTATTATTTAAGAGTTCACTGCAACCATAGTGTTGTCTCTTGCTCTCTTCGGCCTTTTGCTTTACATTTTGTTGACAGCACAGACGAAACAAACATCTGTACACACCGAGGTATTCGTTAAAAAATCAAAATGGCCGCCAAATTATTTTTTTCTTCTTCTCTTTTGGTCGGTCGCTTCGTTGAGTTTTACTCAACAGAAGAAAATTTGACGTGATTGTTCTTTTGGCTTTCTGGTCGCGGTCTTATTGATTTGACCCGGCATTTTTGTTGAAATTAGTTTCATTTATTTATCTCATTTGTTAATTTATTTCCTACAAAATGTGTACCTTTTTTTACAACTATGTCTATGAATTATGAAAATAAACATGCACTTTCCTTCGAAAGTTTTCTCTTTTTCTCACCAAACACACGAAACGCGTGGCTCTTCAATGAAATGCACGATACGAACTGTTGGTGCTGTAATAATTACGGTTAACTTTGCACCAACATACGGGTTCTGGGGGGTTCTTGTTTGTTTTTATTGGTGTTTGTTGTTGTGGAAAAGAAAAACAAAAACATGATATGGAGAAAGGGAAACAATTTTAATAATATTTATAAAATGATAAGTTTTATAAAACAATTCCATTTTTTAGAATAAACGTAGATTGTCGTCATTTTTTGGCGGGCCATGAATGGAAATACTGTACATTTGGGGACACAAACCTAAAATCACACAGTAAGCGTCAAAAGTGTAGTAACACTATGAACAAAATATACAGTACAATATTTCCCTTTCATTTATTTCCTACAATTCAATATAAATAGGCTAACATGGCCAAAACCTTATATGAACATACAACAGTATAAAAACTGTCTATAACTAGATTAATAAAAATAAATAAACTAAATACATAACAAAAATTAACAGGGAGTTATACTATATATTTATATAAAAAAATAAATAAATAATTAGACCCTCAACAGTTAAGCAAGCCTCTCTGCCAGGCAAGAGGCATCAATACATTTAATATGATTTTCTGTATAAAATCATTCGTCATTCAAACTGTGCCTGACTGTGTTTCTGTTAAATAAAAATATTCGAGTATTTCACATAGGTTTTCCAGTTCCTATATACCCTCTACTTAAGGCATAAAATATAAATTCCAGCCTAAGAGACTATAATAAAACATTTTAATTAATCAGTACATTTGTGATAATTATCTGGAGCATACACTTTTCCCAGACATGTCTTTAAAAGGCATTGTACAGTGTTACAAACCTCCGTGTTCAGAAGACCCTAACCATGGTACAATAAGGAGGTAGAACAGCTTTGTAAAACTACAGAAATACAGCCCTGAGACTATACCCGCTGTCTGTCAGACTCATTCAAAATTTTATGAAACAAGTTGTTTTCATTTTTTTCATACTTTCCCTCATATTTTAATGAGCCAAATAGCGCGAGTAATGAATGAAATCCCCGGATTTTCTCTCAAAAACATGATCCACATAAAAATCTACTTATTATTGACAAAACATTTTGAAAATTTTGACATATCAATGTTCCTAAGCTACCTATATTCTTCTACCGTCGTAAGAAGGCTATGCTAATGCGCAACGGAAAGCAAGCTTAAATGCAACATTATGGCAAACGTAGATTCCCATTAGCCATAATGCTGCGTTATGCTTACATTTTTATTAAACGCGCTCTCCCTCCTAATCAGACTCCCGTTTGAGAGATAAGAGATGACGAAGGAAAGCATTTAATTTTTAGAAATCCATTTTAAAGTCCTATTCATTTTATATGATTTTTTTTTTATTTTTAAATGAAAATACTCAATAAAGTAATTACATCGTTTTTTACAAATGATGTGATTTAAATAATCTATAAAATCCCGTTGTTTGCTCATATTAACGGCTGTACAAGAAATTAAAGATCATCGATGCTGGTCAGAACATTGTATAAAGGTCAAGCAACGTATTAAAGCCATCTTAATACGAAGGTGTAAACCTGACATTATGTTGGTCACTATGGACAACAACTACTTTTGTAAACACACAAAGTTGAATTGCTGGACAAGGAAAAACCGGACAAATGGCTTTCCATGAAAATTGAGAAAAATGATAACAAATTAAAGCGGTAATCATACATTAGTGTTAAATATCGAGAAGAAAAATGCGGGGCATATTAAAGTGGATTGATAAAGTTGAATTTCCCAACGTAAAGGATGAAAATATAAGGTAAATTTCCCAAAACATAAAAATCGATTTGTTGTTGTTGTTGCACATAAATGACAAGGATTAAGCACAGTGGTTAGAGTTGTCACAAAAGATGAAAAAAATAAAAAAGCGTTATAATAAAAAATGGAAATCAATGTTAAATTAAAAAAATATTTAAAGTAAATACAAAAGAAAAGTAATAATTCATAACGGAAAATTTAAAAGAAATATTTGCGCAAAAAATAAACTAGTTGCCGTTGCATTTAATAAAGTTTGAGAAACCTTCACGGATTAGTTTGAAAATTTTCTATGTATGGTTTTAAATTAATGCTAAATCTTATTCCAGTATTCACAGCGTTTGCTATAGTCCAGATGGGTCTCAACTAATTGTGGCAGCCAGGGAGAGAGTTTTAGTATATGATCCCCAGGATGGTACATTGCTAAATACTCTCAAAGCCCACAAGGATGTTGTAAATTGTGTGGCCTATGCTAGAGATGGCAAAAAATTTGCCAGTGGAGCTGCTGATAAGACGGTAAGATTTAAATAATGTCTTTAAGATTTGTGTGATTTAGGAAGTCTTCATGTTTACAGGTAATACTTTGGTCGCCGGAGCTTGAGGGACTGCTTAAATACTCGTAAGTGTTGAAAAAATTTAAAGTACTCGGTTCATAAAAATTAAACATCCCAATTTTCCTTCTAGCCATGGCGATTCTGTGCAATGCATGTCATTCAATCCCGTCTCTCATCATTTGGCGTCCTGTTCAACATCGGATTTTGCATTTTGGTCTTCGGATCAAAAGGCTGTACAAAAATATAAGATAAATTCGCGTGTCAACGCCTGTTGTTGGACCAATGATGGCCAATATTTGATAATGGGTTTGGCAAATGGTTCCATAACAATACGCAATAAATCTGGCGAGGAGAAAGGACGTATAGATCGTCCCGGCGGATCGGCAAGTTCAGTGTATGGTGTAAAATGTTGTCCCGCCACAGCTGAACCCAATACCGACATCATTGCGGTTGTGGATTGGAGTCAAACGCTGTCCTTTCACACATTAAGTGGGCAAATGGTGGGAAAAGAAAGGGCAATTGGTTTTGATGCTTTGTGTCTGACATATTTACCCAATGGGGAGTATTGTCTGATATCCGGTTGTACCGATAGTCTGCATTGTTATACGCGTGAAGGTGTACGCCTAGGTACTTTGGGTGACAGCCTGGAGTCATCATGGATTTGGTCTGTTGATGTACATCCTAATGGACAGTCCTATACAGTAGGTTGCCAGAATGGTACATTGGTCACGTACAATATATCCTTCACCACGGTACATGCTTTGTATCGCGACCGCTATGCCTTTCGTGAAAATATGTGTGATGTTATAATACAACATTTAATATCGGGTCAAAAGGTACGCATCAAGTGCCGGGATTTAGTACAAAAAATTGCAATATACCGTGAGAAATTGGCTGTTCAGCTGCCGGAAAGAGTGGTGTTGTATGAGTTGAGCTCTGCATTGGAACAGCCCATGCACTATAAGGTTAAGGAGAAAATTCAAAAGAAGTTCGATTGTAGTCTGTTGGTGGTGTGCGCCAGACACATAGTCTTGTGCAATGATCGTCGCCTGCAATGTTTGGATTTCAATGGCATTCTGCAAAGGGAGTGGCTAATGGATGCATTCATACGTTATATGAAAGTTATTGGTGGTCCGGCTGGCCGGGAGGGTCTTATGGTGGGTCTTAAAAATGGCAAGGTAAGTTATCAGACAAAATTAACATTGGTATGGTTTAAAAAACGTAGGGATTATCAGACAAGTAAAGGTGACGATCTTTTCAAATATACCTCTTGTCAAGGATTGATAGAACAAAGAAGGTGCATTTTATAAGATTATTTTGGCAAGGACTATGGTTGACTTTTTGGGTTCATATTCCTAACGTGGACTTGAAGTGTATTTTTTCAAGCACTGTTAGACTAATTGACGGGATTTTTAAGGATAATTTTTAGGAACTCCAACAAGACAAGTAAAAATGGGGGGTTTAAGAATATTTTAAGGGTTAAGAGGGATATTTTTGATGAAATTTAAGACAAGTAACGGTATGTAACCGGTATTTTACAAGAACTCTCCGACTAAGAATCCAACCAATTTTTAAGGATAATTTCCCATAGATTTGAACAAATGAACGCTGATTTTTAAAAAATATATTTAAAAATCAACGTTCATTTATCTAAAGTCTTTGGGAAATTATCCTTAAAAATTAGTTGTGTTCTTCCAGGATTATCGGACTAAAATAAGTAAATTATCACTATGGCTTTCAGACTAACAAACCTGTATGTTGAAGGACACTTCAAGGACCCATAAATATATTGAATTTCAAACCAATAAAGGTGTATTAGAAAATATTTTTAAAGGACATTTTGAGAATATTTTTATAATTTCAAGCACTGCAAGTTCAAAATATTTTTTTTAACTCAGACAAAATGTTTTGGATATTAAAGGATATTTAAGGGCTGGATTATTATGTATATCTTTTCGAGGCCATCAGGCCAATTAACATGGATTTTAAGCATACTTTTTCAATGGCCAATAATTGTAGATTTTAAGAATAATTTTTCAAGACATTTTAGAGCAATAAACCTAGATTGACAAAAAAATTTTTGAAGTGGAATTTTTTAAAGATTTTTTTCAAGGACTGGAACAAGGATTTTAGATCAATAAACCTAAACATGTGTTTTTAAAGACCTTTTTCTAGGAATTCAGACAAAAAACAGACTGATTATTGATTAATTTTTCAAGGACTCTTGCACCAGTAGTCGTGTTTTTCAATGATATTTTTTCAAGGATTTTAAACAAATAAACCTAGATTTTTTAAGTCTTTGTGTGACCTTCGGCCCAAAAGCTTGATTCCAAATTTTAAAACCAATAAATTCGTATTTAAGGATATTTTCCCAAAGATTTTTAGTCTTATACTTCCGAACAATAAAGATTTTTCTTAATTTCTTCTCTTTTAGGTGTTTCGGATATTTTTGGACAATGCCCTGCCGTTGCTGATAACCACTGCCATATCGGCAGTGCGTTGCCTAGATGTTAACGCCAATCGTACAAAAATAGCCGTAGTCGATGATGGGGGACGCTTGGTGGTGCGTGACATTAACAATGACGTTCTGCTCTATCAGGATACTGGTGTCAATTCTGTTACATGGAACACACATTTAGATAGCATGTTGTGCTATACACACACAGCTGGTGGTCTCACGGTCAGAGTGGGTAATTTACCACCTAGAGCCCCACAACATATGCTTGGAGTTGTTGTGGGACTGTGTGGGGCCACGGCCTTCTGTTTAAGAGGAAATGTTATGCACAATGTACCTTTGGCCTTAGGAGCAACAATGTGGCAATTTATAGAGTCGGGGCTGTTTGAGTAGGTTCTCCACATTACAATGACTTACGAAGATGTCCTTTAATTATTGTTGTTCTTTGTGCTTTTAGTGAAGCCTATCAGGTGGCCTGTTTGGGTATTACCTCAGCCGATTGGGAAGGTTTGGCGAAATCAGCCCTCGAAGCTTTACATTTAAAAATTGCCCGAGATGCTTATGTTAAAATACGCAATCTACCCTGGCTACAGAAAATCGATGATCTAATGGAAAAACAAAAACGTGGCCAATTGCCGAAGGAAGTACTGCAGGCGGAAATTAGTGCCTTCAATGGCAAATATAAAGAAGCAGCGAGATTTTTCGACAAATGTAATATGCCACAGCGAGCTTTGGAAATGTACAGTGATCTCAGAATGTTTGATTTGGCCCAGGAATTTATTAGGGATGGCAGTGCCGAAGAGAAAAAGGCCTTAGTTCGTAAGCGTGCCGAATGGGCATATTCCGTCAAGGAACCCAGAGCGGCAGCGGAATTATTGCTAAGTGTGGGTGATCATCAGAAAGCCATAGAAATTGTCTCCGAACAGGGATGGGCAGATGTGTAAGTGTTTTTCATATATATTTGATTTTAAAAATAATTTTGTTTAAACCGATCTAAAGACTGTACGATATTGGCCGGAGACTGAGTCAAAGTGAAAGGGACTCTTTGGAATTAGTGGCTAGCAATTTGAAACGTTTAAAAGCCCTGCCTTTGGCCGCTGAGGTATTTAAAAAATTGGGTAATGAAGCTGAAGTTGTGCAGTTACATGTTGAGGCTCGCGATTGGTCTGAGGCCTTCTTATTGGCTGCCGATATTCCTGAACTATTGCCACAGGTACATTATCAGCATGGCCAATGGTTGGCCGAGAATGATAAATTTATTGAGGCACATGAAGGTAAAAGCTTGTCAACTAGGCTTATATACATGCATTTAATAAATACTTTCCATAGCATATTTGAAAGCTGGCCGCATCAAAGATGCCAATCGTTTACTGAAACATTTAAGCAATTCGTCCATAGAAGAGGAACGTTTCTTGGATGCCAGCTACTTTCATTGGTTGCTTTCTAAGCAATATTTGGATATATATTATGGCAAGGAGTAAGTGCAACTGCAAAGCCAGACACAGAGGAAATTTTAATGAAGTGAAATGAGTTTATTCATTTTCCTTCCCACCATAAAAGCCGACTTACTTTTAGTGTATAGTTTCGGAGTACCTCTTAAATACCTCTGATTGTTTTTATTTATTAATTAATTTAATTTCCATCCTTTTTAGAGAACAAAATCCCATAGATTTCCACCTTAAGGAATACAATTCACATTTGCGTATAGCAAAAATCTATTATGCCTTTTCGGTCATCTATAACTATATGAAGGAGCCCTTCACCACCTACTCGCCGGTAAGTCTGTTTAATGTGTCGAGATTCATACTTAATGAGGTGGAATATAAAGGTGCGCCCAGAGGTGTTAGTATGTTGTAAGTGCTCAGGTTTTATATCAAATTTCGTACTTTTCAAGTTTTTTTTTTCTCATCAATAGTGCTGTCCTATTCACCCTGGCTAAGCAAGCGAAATTTTTACAAGCCAACAAACTCTGTCTGGTGGTTAATAAGAGGCTACAATCATTGAAACCTCCAGCTGGTGTACAGGAACAAATTGATGTAAGTTTTTCTATGGAGGGACAAAAGTTGTGTGTTCAGGTATCGGAAATATTTATGTTTTTCGTTTTCTCTAGATTAATTACTTGAATAGCAAAGCGTGTAAAAGTGGTTTCAACGATCCCGAAGAACTGTTACCGTTATGCTATAAATGCTCAAACTATAGTCAACACTTGAATGCAAATTCTTGTCCCACCTGTAGGCAGGATTATATTTTCTCTTTTATTTCGTTTGGTAAGATGTTTTGAAATAAAAATTTAAAGAATTTGAAAATGTTAATAATTCTAAATTAATTTTTCGATAGAAATTTTACCTTTAGTGCAATTTTATCCAGAAATGGATATAACCGATAATGAGGCGGAGAGACTTTTAATGGCTCCGCCGAAAAACAATGAGGATCAAGATCCTTTCAATGAGGTAGGTTGTAAGACAAAGTTGAAATCTTATTTTTATTACATCTTTATTTTGTTGGTGTTGTTTTTTCTTATACTAGGATACTGCAAGTGCCTTGCCATCGTTAAGTCTGGACAGAAGTGCCTTACGTGCTATAGACCCAAATCATGTTTTGATATTGAAACGCCGCTCACAACCAAATAGTAAATATGTATTTTATCGTAATATATTACCCGATCTCCAAGTTACCTACTGTCCGGAATGTTTGCTGGTAAGATAATTACATTTTATGTTTTAAGATCAATTATATACAAATATAAAAATACATTGTATCCTTATTTTCCTCATATTTTTTAATGATTAAAAATCTACCTCATCTTCTTTTTTAGGTATTCTATGCAGAAGATTTTGAATTGCAAGTCTTGCAAAAAGGACACTGTCCTTTTTGTCGAACGCCCGCCGACAAATTATTTGACGAATTTTAGCATCGAAAATTAAATAGCATAAATTGTATTTATTTTTTTCTATAAATGTATATTAAATAACAAAGTTTATTATCATTTGTGACTAAGACCAGGTTTCTTCTTGATAACGTTTTTGTTTGACCATTTCTTCTAACAAGGTCTCCTGGCCATTAAGTACCTTGAGAAAGGCTTCTTTTACAGCTTTTGGCATGTCATTGGAAGAACCAGCCACCAATATAACAGCTTGCCTTTCCAAAATCAGTTTTTGTAGTTTCTCAACATTTTGTTCAATTAAATGCTGAACGTATATTTTGTGATCCTGATCTCGAGAAAAGGCACAATGTAGACTAATAACACCCTCTTTGGACCATTGCTCTAGATCTTCACGAAAATGAAAATCTTTGCTGCGATTTCGACAACCAAAATATACAACCATTGAGGGATCATCACCAACAACACCATTAACTTCTCCATCTTTTCTTGTCAGAAAAAAGCGGCTTTGTATTAGACCACGGAAAGGTGCAATGCCTGTCCCAGGACCAATCATAATTACAGGAGTTTTAGAATTTTTAGGCAGTTTCATTGTTCCCGGTTTAATGCAACCTAACACTGTTGTACCAACTTTCAGGGATTTTAACCAATTTGAACATAAACCCAACCTTGGTTTTGACAACTTTGTTTTATATTCCACCACTGCCACCAGCAGATCCAATTTGCCCGATCCCACACAACTGGCAATGGAAAAGCTACGTGGTTGTATAAAAGTAAAAAGTTCCACTAAAGTATTTAGTGTCATTTTAGCAGAAGCTTGACGAAAGTCCTGCAATACCTCCAAAACCGTACGTCGCGGACGATTGATGTAATTTATAAGGCTATCCAGGCCCTCGGCTGTGGTAAATTCCAATAGTTTTTCCTTTTCAAGCTCATCCTCACAGTTAAGGGCAAGCAACTCAAATGCTCTTTGTCTTGGCTTGTGGCTTAAATCCCATAAATAGGTAACCATTTGTTTAACTGTTAAAGGTTGGCTATAGCATTTTGGTACACTGATGTCCTTGTGATTACTAGCGATTTCCACCAGAGTATCGGGAGAAAAATCCAATTTGTGCTCTTCAGCCCATGAAAAGAATTCATCAATCTGTTCCTGGGAGTTTTGGGGTTGTACTTGTAATACATCACCCGGGCTCCATGTTGCCTCTGCTGCATCAAATTTTAATAATCGTACATCCTGAAAGTGGTCTTCCTCTGTGGTACGCAAATTTTCACGTAGAATCAGTTTTAGGGGTTCCTCCTTATGCGGCCACAGTATGTGATTTTGATCTCGATTCTCATCGTAAGGAACATCTACCACCCGACATGACCATTTAAATATTCTACCACTATCGCTGCCATTCGCCTTTACACCCAAACGTTTTTCCAATTCCAACCATACTTGGTCCATCCATGGCAGAGCAACTGCTCCCAACCCATGATCATGTTGATCATCACATAAACCCATGGGAACAATGGTACTTGCACCCAATTGCTGTAGCCGCTTATTTAACTTTTTTGCCGCATAGTTAAATTTGGAATAACTAGAATCGCCCAATCCCAGGCAGGCATATTGTAACTTGTCCAGCGAATTATTTGGAAGACTACGCCTCAATAAGAACTTCCAAAAGTTACGCATATTATCCGGTTCATCGCCATCACCCGTTGTGGCAACAACAAACAACACCAATGTTTCTTCAATTAGATTCTGTACGGGGTAATCATTCATGGCCAGGACTGGTCCTTCGAAGCCATATGTTTTCGAGGTGCGCCACAGCTGTTCGGCAACATCTTGTGCCGTTCCCGTTTGACTTCCATATAGAATAAGCAGACGCATTGTTATTTCTTTATATTCTAATTGGAACGTTTGGTTTAATTGAACCTAGTTTATCCGACAACTCAAGTGACGGGTTCTATGTGGTTAGTGCAGTCGTCGGAAACCAAATAAAAAAAATAAAAAACGTCCCCAACGAATGAAATAAGAAGCCAAAACGGAATGCATGATAAAAAATAAACAATAAGCAAAACCCCCGAGTACATCTGTTGTTAACGAATGAAACGCAATCAGCTGGAGACATTCATTAAATGAACCGCGGGACTAGTTCTAATGAGTAGTCATATTTCTTAAGTGATTGTCAATAACAGCCATGGTAGAAGAATACAGGTAGTGGCATCAACACAGTTCCTGGGACAATAAACTATCAGACCAATTTTGAAATTTAAAAATTTGAATTTAAGATTATTCAAATTTGATTATTCGTGACAACTTAGGATTGGTGTCGTATGAGAAAACTTATAGAAATCTACTTATTTTTTGAAAATACATTTTATAAATTTTGACACATTAACGTTCCCAAGCGGATCTACATGCATTATTCTATCATGATAACAGCGTTACCTAAAATTTGACGTAGCGTACGTAATATTAAACTTCCTCATATAATAAAATATTTTGTACGTCCGTATAATCCTAATACGCCAGGTCCATATGTTAAAACCTATCAACAATTAACGTTGTAAAAATTGGATCATTTTGTACGCTTGTAAATAATATAATGAAGTGACAGCAATCTGAAGTTGGTTGCAGTTTTTTCATCTTTCTCGGTATAGGGAAGTATACGCTGCGTCGAATTCGAATTTTAGGTACGCTCTTATTAACAATCACTTAACAAATATAACAACTCATTAAAGTAGTCACGCGGTTCATTTAATGAATGTTTTAAGCTGATTGTGTTTTCCTCATGTCTCATTCGTAAACAAAAGAGGCACTGGGGGATTTTGTTTTCAGTTTATTTTTTATCGTGCATTCCTATTTGGCATCTGATTTCATTCGTTGGGGACGTCTTTTATTTTGTTTTCCAACTATATAACATTTCACATTTCTACGTGAACGAGGAGGTTCAAGAGGTTTCAATTAAAATTAAAAAATTAAAACATTTAAATAATGTTAAGATTAGGCGGTCTCGTGTTAAGGCCCCTAGTGGCTATAAATGCCAGACAAAATGTAAATTATATGCAAAATATTTCAAAAGTAGCCCAACGAAGATGTCTCTCTCAGCGACCTGACACTTTTGCCGGCCCTGGAGCTTCGATTGCCGGAAAGGAAGAAAAAGTAACTCCACTTGGATGGTTTCTTTTGGTAAGCATTTTAATATTTGGTGCTGGTAAAAAAAAAAAAAAACATAAAACATTCCTAGATCCCGACATCATGTTAAGCGAATTAAATCCAAATGACGTATCTCATACAGTGTCGTCTTTAATGACAGTTTACTTCAATTCGAATTAAAAAAATCTGTTTTGAGATTTAAATTAGTTCCAAACCAATTCCCTTTAATTTCACAGCTTATTCCAGTGACAACATTTGGTCTAGGTGTGTGGCAAACCAAACGCAAGGCTTGGAAGGAACAACTCATTAGGGATATTGAGACGTTAACAAAAATGCCACCAGTTGATCTGCCAGATAAGTAAGTCCAAATATATATATATGATATTAATCTTTATTTATATATGGTTTTCTAATCTTCAGTTTAGATACTCTCAAGGACATGGAATATCGTTCGGTCAAAGTTAAGGGTCGCTTTTTACACGACATAGAATTGGTAATGGGTCCACGTGGCTTCATACGGCCCGATGGTGCCGAAACACAAGGCGGTTTATTTTCTCAGCGTGACACGGGGAATGGTTACTGGATTGTAACACCATTTCAATTGAGCGATCGAGAGTATGGATACTAGGTATACATTTAACAAAATTTGTTAGACTTATGTATTTTTTTTTAAATATTTAGTGACATTATTTTAATTAATCGCGGTTGGGTGTCAAGAAAAAACCTCAAACCAGAAACACGTACAGCTGGACAAATTCCCAATGAAGTGGAATTAACCTGTGTTGTGCGCAAAGGTGAAAAGAGGCCACAATTCACTCCAGATCACAAAGGAGATGTCTTTTTGTATAGGTAAGTGCTGGAGCTCTGATATCCCTCAGAGAAATTTGTAAATGTAAACAAATGCCAATACAGTCTGACAGAGTTTAGAAATTTCTTAAAAATCCTCGACTTGCTGATAATAGCCTTAGAGAAAAATCACAAACGCACTCAAATATATTCTTTAAAATATCCACCCACGATTATGATCGGAAAACATATTCCTCAAAAACTTCAAGAATATAGCCCCGCTTAAAAAAGGCATGATTATGGCTCTGTTAGCCCTTAAAAATCAATAATGTTGGCTATGATTGCGAAAAAATATTCCCAAAAATCCACAATTATTATTCTGTTAGTCCCTGAGAAAAAAAAAAAAAAAATAAAAACCCACGAATACGGCTGTTATTCCTTGAAACAATATTCACTGAAATTCCACGAATATGGCTATGATGGTCCTATTTTAAATACTATTCCAACTGAGCCATTGGTCCTTGAGAATAATATAATCATATTAAAAGCTCATAAATATGATTCTGTTGGTCCTTAAAAATATTCTTTAAAAATCCGATATTGTGGCCCTGTTGGTTCTTGAAAACATATTCTTTAAAAATCCAAATTTATTACTGGTCCTCAAAAAATGATCCTTTACAATTCACTCTATTAGTCTTTGTACAATTATTCTCCAAAAATGGTCGATTATGATACTGTTGCTCCTTCCAGAAATATTTCCGAAAAATCCACAATTGGGAGGCTTACTGTTATACCGAAAAATAAAAAAATGCCGAAACTAGTACCAATGTCCCGGCATTTGGCAACTCTGTTTACTCTGTAAAGCGCAATGTCAAAATGTATTTTGTTCCAAAAATAACGGTAAAATACCTAAGTCAACGACTGTCACTTTAGTTTTTTTCATAGCAAAAATGAACCAAGTCAGTGTGAGTCGAGGAGTTTATTCAATGAATATAAAACCGGTTATATGCACATGTGGAATGAGACCGAAGTAGCGATGGGTCCCCAAGAAATCGCAGCTTAACTACTTGTTAACATTAATTTATTTTTTTAAATAAACGAATTCATTTTATTTTCCTAAAAATCATAATAGTTGTCAGTAACAACTGGACCAAACCAAGACATGACTTAAAATAAAACTCCGAAATTAGTGCGAAATTAATCGCTAAGTCAACTATTTTTAGTCATATAACGAACACTTTATTTTATTTTTTACTTGGTTCACTTTAGCTGGGAAACCATCAAATTTTATTCAGAGTAAAAATGAACCAAAGTAGGTTTTTTTGTTTTTGTAGTAATATATTTAAATTATTTTTATTTTAATTTTATTTTTTTTTTTTTTGAAAATTCACGATCCTGGCAAAATATTCCTAAAACCTTATGGTACTTGCAAAATATTTCTAAAACCACATGATAATAGATCTAATAGGCATTGAAAATAAACCTTAAAAAATCTATAATTTTAATTAATATATTTTTTTATATTATTTTTAGAGACTTACCCAAAATGTGTGCTGCCACCGGTGCTCAACCAGTATTCCTTGATGCTAGCTATCAATCATCAACACCCGGCGGTCCCATCGGTGGACAGACACGGGTTGCTTTGCGTAACGATCATCTCTCATATCTGATAACCTGGTACAGTTTATCATTGGCTACAGCATTCTTGTGGTATCGGACAGTCTTGAAACGTAAACCATTCTAATAATGGGCGGGGATTGAAAAAAAAAAATATTTTTGCTTTTAGTTGAACTAAAATTTGTATTTTATTTATTGTTTTTGTTTCTCATTCAATTACATAGGTGTAATGTATATATATATATGTATGCAATATGATATGCAAAAAATAAAATTTGAAAATCATGATAACAAAATATAATTGGGGAGACAAAAAGTGGAATTGGAGAGTCTGTTTTTTCTATACAATCGTTGATGTTGAATAGACTTATTTGTATACATTAAATAAAGGTGTAGTAAAATATAGATATGAAGAGTGTCAGACATAGAATGTAGTCTATTATTATTTATTCTTATTAAAAAAAATAATCAAGTCAAATATTTAAAATATTTCACTTATAAAAATATGACATTTATATGTATATTGCCGCTTTTATTATTCGTTAATGTTGCAATTGTTTGCATCTTTTGAGTTTTGGTATACAAAAAAAAAAAAAATAATAATTTGCTTATTTACAATTCAAATAGTAAAAATGTTTAGGAAAGAAAAGAAAAAATACTGTGTGCATTTAAGTCTTAAAAGATTTTAGAATGTGCAATATGGTAGCGAAAGAGAATACACGAAAAAAAATAGAAGACAAAGAGGGAAACGTTTGTTGGATTTTTAAAATCCCAATTCAATGTGTAAAACTGGTAGTGTTATGGTTGGCAAGTTTGATTTTCTTTAACTGCTTGTTCTACAATTGTTGTACACTGCCCCAGGAACGCATCAGGCCCGAACGTGAATATTTCTTGCCAATTGTCTGCACATGGAAACCGATTTGTTGCAAACGCTCATGATCCAAAATCTTGCGACCATCAAAAATGTAGGCTGGTTTCATCATCGATTGGTAAATACGTTGATAGTCGAGAGTCTGGAAAGGAGAGAAAGAACAAAATTTATATATAGAAGACTTGAAGATGTTCTATTTGTATAGAAGACCCAGATGTCTATTCTTGTGTACAGAAGATTTCCCTAAGTATAGAAGACCTCGAGGTCTTCTTATGTGTAGAAGACCTAGAGCTCTTTATACAGACACCCTTAATTATTTTATACAAAGCTAACATAATGGTTCACTTTGTGTATGGAATACCTAGAGATCTTCTTCGTCTATAGAAGACTCAGACATCTTCTTTGTGTATAGTAGACCCAGAGATTTTCTTTGTGATCGTCTTCGTGTATGAAAAAACTAGAAGTCTCTTTTGTGTATAGCAGACCAGTCAAATGATCTTTTTTTTACAAATTATCAAAAGAATTCACTCTAAAAGTCGACACGATTATCAATAACTTAAACTTACCACAAATTCATCCCATTCCGTACACAAAACAATGGCATGTGTCCCCCTGACCGCACTGTAGGGATCACTGTGAATTTGGACGGCTTGTTTGACACCTTCCGGCGACTCCGTAACACTTGGATGTGTCAAATCGTCAATTATTTGTTCCGGTTCCACTTTGGGATCATAAATATCCAATTTGGCACCCTCCTCCAGCAGAGTCTTACACACCGTAATGGCTGGTGTTTCACGCGTATCACCAGTATTCTTTTTAAATGCAAAGCCCAAAATGGAAATGTGTTTATTCGATACCGTATTGAACAGACATTCAATAATCTTCTGAGAGAATCTTGACTTTTGATATTCATTCATATCGATAACCTGTTGCCAATAGGCGGCAACTTCCGGTAAATTAAGGCCTTCACAGATATAGACAAGATTAAGTATGTCCTTTTGGAAACAACTGCCACCGAAACCGACTGAGGCCTGTAGGAACTTGGGACCAATGCGTGAATCCAGACCAATGGCTCGGGCAACTTCGGAAACATCGCCACCGGTGGCTTCACACACGGCCGATAGGGAATTAATACTGGAAATTCTTTGCGCCAGGAAGGCGTTTGCTGCCAATTTCGATAGCTCTGAACTCCATGTGTTTGTCGTCAGAATATTCTCTTTGGGTATCCAATGTTCATAGATCCATGACAATTTTTCGATGGCCTTGTGGCCCTCGGGCGTCTCTTCACCGCCGATTAGAACACGATCGGCATGCAATAGATCTTCAATTGCTGTACCTTCGGCCAAAAATTCCGGATTGGAGAGGATATCATAACGGATGCCAGGTTTTTGATTGGCATGCAGAATGTGCATGATACTCTCGGCCGCCCTCACCGGCACCGTACTCTTTTCCACAACAATTTTATTCGATTGAGCAATTTCGGCAATCATGCGAGCAGCACTTTCCACATATTTCAGATCAGCAGCACGTCCTGTGGAAATTTGGAAATAAAATTTTAATTTTTAGCTGATTTTAAAATAGGATTTTTCAAGAGGGGGTTGTGAACTCACCTTTGCCATTACCAAATGTCTTTGTGGGTGTATTAACAGAAATGAAAATCAAGTCAGCTTCTTTAATGGCAGTCTCAATGTCTGTTGAGAAGAATAAGTTAACATTGCGACACTTTTTCACCACATCATCCAAGCCAGGCTAAAATGAAAGGAAAAAAGAGAAAATAAAATAGATTTATTTGTTTTATCTTTTTTTTTGTAAGACATTTTAGAGGAAAATATTAGAAAATATTTTTTTGTTGGCAATATTGATGCAAGTGGTTTTCTGATAATACAGGGTGAGATGAAAAAACTGCCACCAACTTCAGACTGTTGTCATTTCTAAGCCACTCGTCCTACAGCTGTTAAAATAACTCAAGTGACAGCTCATTATATCGTTTACAAGTTGGTCTTTAGTGTCTCGTACCATCGCTCGTTACCGTGAAAATGGTAGCGTAGCCCGACGTCAATGAAGTGGACGGAACAAAACAGCAACATCAGCAGAAATGGTTCGAAAAGTAAAGAAGCTACTTCATCGAAATCCGTGTCGCAGTTGCCGAAAAATGGCTCGTGTGCTGAACATATCGCAATATTCCATTCGGCAAATATTGAAAAATGAGCTCGGAGTAAAGCCATTGAAATTCCAAAAAGTGCAAGAACTTACACCACAACAGACTTGGTAGTATATGGTGAACTACCGAATTTGGTTTTCTCCAATGAGAAAACATCAAAAGAGTCTTTTTTTTTTTAATATGGTAAAAAGCCCCTGGAAAAGTGATTGTAATCTTCAATAAATTTATTTGTCATAAAATACTACTATAGGTCCCAGAAGACATAAAGAGCAGAGACATGTTAGTATAAAAACAGAAACGAATAATAAAACAAATTGAAAAATCGACAATTTTGGTTTCAAAATTATATTCCAAAGACTTTCTCAATTAATTGTATATTGGAGAGATAGAACAAGACAAAGTAGAAATATGGCAACCCTGTGTTATGATATCATAACAACATAGTTACCAATGTTAACTGATTTTAACCGCTAAGGATGTCCAAGGTCTGAGGCCAAAATGTTTGCGTGCCTCCAGAATATACCTTTCAACTCGTTTGGCTCTTCTAAAAAAAATTCTAATGGATTTTCAAGGTACATATTGGAAACTATTCAAGTGTGTCACTTAAACAAAAAAAATGTTTATGGCATGACTTGATGTTGAAATTTATTGTTGGATGAGATAAAAAATGAAGAACAAAACCACATCTGTTCCTAGACAAAAAAAATAAGAATCTTCAACAGCTTCTTGTCTAGCAAATGTTCAATTGCTAATTGTTTACAATCGATGCTAATGTTTTCTAAATACAAAACTATTTTTAGACATCACGAAGTTTCATCATCATCATCATAATCATGGAGTAAGACACGGTTAATAAATCCACCATCTGTGGTGATTGATGCTGCCGAATGATTAAATAAATAAAAAAATAATTAAAGTTTACAAAAAAATTCAAAAATTCAATTATACATTACAATTTTCTAGATAAAAAATGGCCAAGGCCAATAAAATAAGGTCGCATAGGAGGGGAATTATGGCTTTAGTCTTCTCTTACTGTCAAATATATATCTAATGCAACAACAAGATATTAAAAAATGTATTTTGACAGCATCTTGTCAATACCCCTTTCTAAAACCCCATTTTTTAACATTGACACAAAATTTGGAACATGACAAAACTTGGTTTATTGATTTTGAGAGGAGCATCGTAATCGATAGTGGGGAAGGAGATACCATTGGTATCCACAAACATTTTCAATAATTGCTTCTTTCTCTGAAAGTTGCGCCTTATTGGGAATTTTCCTAAAGAAACACTCTATTTTGCTTTCAAATATTCCATCTCTATTCTTTACTTTATCACAAAAGTTTCATAATTCATTTCCATGAATCACTACTTTAGGTGCTCGTCAACAAATGTTTCTTGATAAGCTGCGAATTTATTTGGAATCATTTTATCTGTTATATTCTAAAAGAAAATTTTGTATTATCTTCGAGAGTATAATTAATACAAAACTTATCTAATGACGTAGCACAGCAAAATGTAGTTTCAATTTTTTAATAAAAAAAGTTTCCAAAGAGGCAAAATTTCTCAAATTGGTTTATTTGTATTTGTTTCAAATCTATATGAGTTAATGAGGTGTGTGTGTGAGTTGTGAATGGAAAGGAAACGGCGGCATATAAAACATATTTATAAATGAGGAACACATATTTTGTTCTGTCCATAATCTGTAAGAAAGCACAAGTTTTACAAATTTTACTCTCTTAGCAGCTTTCACGTCTTTTTTTCAAGAGATATTACAGCCGGTTTTATCGACAAATGTTTAACCTCAGCCTATGCTCGTTTATTAAAATATATTTTGACTTCCGTTACGATTGTTCAAAATGTTGACCCGTTATGGGGAGGCTCGAAATTCCATAATCACATCAGATCCCTAGGCGGATGTGTAAAATTTGAAGAGAATCCGATGCTAATTTCGCCGGATATACGGGTAAGATAAAAAAAAAAACAAAAAAGTCAAACGCCACAATTTTTACTTTTTTTTTATTTTATTGAATGAAAGAAATAGCATCAGATTTTAGAATAAGTTTAGATTTGTTTGAATTGGTTACCTTTGGCACGAATAGAAGGATAGGCCGATCAAACTATGATAATAATATTACCATGTACCATGGTACAATGAAGAGAAGGTAGGCCAACTTAGAAAAAAATGCAAGTATAGAGGTCTACATGTTTGGCTTGTACTGTCAGAATTAGTATCAAAACAATAAAAAATCAAACAACTTGTTGCATTTATTTTGAATAAATAATTGAAAACAGCGATAACTGAATGAAAGGTTAACACTTCTTTTCAAAATCATGTACTATATATCTCTAAAGGATTATTTCGGTACAAAAACTCTAGATTTTGTCGATGCATACGTTGAAATAAACATTTTGAAACACCCGAATTTGAATGTTTTCTGAATAATTTTTTTTTGTTATTGAAAAGAAAACACAAAAATTAAAATTATATGGTATCATAGCCCTACCTTGATATCATTGTACCATGCCATGTACCAAGTTTGAACTTATTTCGATTGAGAACATTTTGATTAAAATTTTTAAACCAGCCGAACTTTACCTCCTCAACACCCCCTACAAACGAATTTGAAATATTTTACTTTTTAAATAATCTTTATTGGGCCTAATTAAAACGTTTATTACACACTTGTAATTGAATGTTAAATAACCACCGATTAAGGTTAATTGATTCCAAAATAACACTTCCTATTTTAGAAAATATGTGACATTTTTTCACATTAAAATTTTTTAGACTCTTTCTCACTCCTTCCTCTAAAACCAACCAACACTTGTGTAACTCTTTAAATGCCCAACAAAGAACAATTGACTTCCAAATATAAGTCGTAGCATGTATTGAACTATTTCAAGAATTTTCAGAAAAACGTGCATTGCAAGCAAATTATATGAAATTGAATAATAATGGCCAAATAAACAAAACTCAAACCCAAATACGACTCACTACTTTTTTTTAATGTTTTTTTCTATTGAAGACAGCATGTGGTGGGTGTGAAGAACGTACATACGCACGTACACGAACAAAAAAAAACGTTTGAATTTGAATATTAGACTCATATCAATTAATAAGGTCAATATCATAAACATATGCAATCCAAAATTTGTCCTATTGTTGCCAACTCGAATTACAAACTATTTATTTAAGTTATTATACAATTTTAAAAATTTTAATATTATTTATTTTAAAAAATATAATCATTAAACTATTTTTATTTACAAGGGAACATTTATTGTAAGAACAACGGCTGTGGGAGGTTAAATAAAACAAATTAAAACTTTGTTATTTATCAAAATATTACAAAAGGAGACAACTCCTTACAATGGACAAATTTCGCTCGACCCTTGATGTCTACTGTTGGGAGGTTTCACTGTAAATGCATTTCAACTATTTCCCTTGAACACCACTTTCCAAAGTCAGATGATAAATTGTTGCGTACAAAATGTTCTCCTCTTTTCTCCCTATTATCAGACATATGAATTTACTTAAGTAAATTGAATTTAGTCTCTGGTACTTTAGTTGTGACGACTTTTTACTATTCTGTTACACACATTTCAGCGATAACAATTGCCTTACCATTGTTGTTGTTGTTTGGACGGAATATGAAAATAACAACTTAGATACTGTGGTTCTTCTTTTATCGGATTTTCTAATAAATTATCAAATCAAAAACTTACAATTGAATGTAGCAATCGAAAACCCAACGAAAAATTGTTTTTATCAATTTATCAATACGTTTTCTTCTTGCAACGACGCCGCCATGGGAATATCAGTTTTATACATTTCATTTATCAGAAAACATGAACGCAAAAACATGTTACATATGATTTTTCTTGTCAGTTAAAAATCGAAGTGATTTTTTTATTTAGGAACCAGTATAAAGTGAAGTTTCAATATGTCCAGGCAACACATGGACAGCGACCCCTAATACCAAATTTCAGATTCCAAGCACTATATGTTCACCCAGCACCCAGTAGTACCAATTTCCAAATTCACCTCTTTATCACATACCAACCACTAACAGGGAACTCACTACAATTGAGCCCCGACTTGCGTCGTTAATGGGGACCAGAGAATCGCGACGCAACTCAAAACGATGCAAATCGAATCACCTTTTTCTATACATATACAAAATGCACTGAAATATAATATACTGGAGAAAATATTCAAAACGAAGCAAAATTTTGTATTTTTGATAAAAAAATAAAACAAGTATGAATACATTTTTATACCCTACAACACTAAGTGTTGGGGGTATTATAGGTTTGATTGGTCCAAAAATTATGTAACACTCCGAAATATTGGTTTCCACTGAAAAATTTCCTGATTTTGCAGTTGCTCTATAGGTCGCAATTATAGACCAATCCAAGCGGAAGTTAGCATGGGGCTGGCCAGAAGCCTTCCCATTTTGATGGTCATCGGGTAATATTTAGTGGTTGAAATAGACCATAACATTTGTGTTAAATAAAAGTCAAATTTTCCATTAAACCGCGAATATTTTTACAAACGGCGTAATTACAAATAGACGAACAGGTT